TTCTATCAAATAAGGGATGATATTTTGAATTCAGGATCAACGTTGGAAAGACAAATAACAATATAATAGCTACTTCGTAGTTGATTTGTTCTTGTCAATATGAGAATTTCAATATTAAACCTTTTAATTCGGGGATATCAAACTTAAACCTGAAAACTTGGTGGGATTTAGAGCGCCATATAAAATTATCTTAAATTCCAAATGACTCGTTATTAGGTGTCGTTTGGTATAGATGATTGGATTGAAAAGGAAAAGTAACTACTGTCAACTGTCAAGGTATGTTGAAAGAATACATAAATAAATTGTGCTCAACAAAAGGGTTAGAAGATGAATTAGTCATTAAGAAAACTTATTCATTCCAATCCTCCTCAAAATGGTAAGACCAAAATAGAGAAATTTCCCCTCAATGAAAAATTATTATCATCTATCTTAAATATACCTTGAATTTAAAAGGTTGCGCATTTCAGTCCAACCATCTAATATGAAATGAAATTATTATGTCCAAATGAGCGCGTCTCCTATGCGGACAGTTTGGGCAGGCAGACGATTGCGGCGAGAGAACCACCCATAAAATTGACGATGATGTGACCCCTCTTCAGATGCCCCTTTACAAAATACCACAGCTGAAACACCTCTCCATCTCGATTGAAGCTCCAAAGTTAAGTTACGAAGCTCAGTTTGTGGGAGTTACGAAGGTTCACAGTTAGAAGAAGAAAACTTCTCGATTTTAATGAAGCTCAGTTTCGATTGGAGTTCACTAGGGTGATTCCTCTACATTTGAATCGAACATTTAGGTCCAAGTTTTGAACTATTAGCCCAACCCAATATATTTGACTCCATCCTTTTTCTTTTTGAGCCCATTTGGCATGTTAATAGGAAAACCCAATTCCTTTCACAACTTTTACACGTTTGCATGCCTATACCTTGCATGGAAGGATTAGTGATTAGGCTTGCCATTCCTAGGACATGTGTCTTTGTAGCAAAAGTCATGAGCATTGTCATCTATGTAAGCTGTCCTAATCCTATGGCATGCTTATCGTTTATCTCCCCAATCATTACACTTAGCATTCCACCATTTTCTGGCTGCCAAAACCAACCAATTGGAAGTAATTGCTGGCTGCCTCACACTAGTATAAATAGGAGCAATTCCTATTGTTTGTGAGATACAACATGCAATGCATGCAAAGCGAGAGAGCTTACGTAGAGAAAAATAATTAGAAGAGGGAGCTAGGGTTTGATGTTCGGCGATTGTGAGTGGGCTTGTCTTGCTGAAGTTCTATATTTCAAAGTGAGTCGTTTGTTTAATCTGTTCAAAATGTTCTTATTTTCTACTAATTGAAAACCACGAACTATTGTGGGGTTCATTCTATCTACAAATCTTGATCTATTTTCAAGTCAAGCATGTTAGCTTTCGAGAAATGTTTTGATGCGTATATACATTCCATGTTGTTAAGATTGTTCATGGAGCATGAGAATTTCAGTGTTGTATTATTTCAAGGGATAAATGTAAACGCATACGGGGACATTAGGGCAAACGACCATTAAGGATCACGTGATGAGCTACAATTTATGAAGGATATAACATATTACATATTCTACTCATTAAACAAGGTTTATTATCAGGCATTCAGATTAAATCCAACGATTTTATGTTGGTCCGCACAAATGATCCGCAAAAACAGGTTCGCATTCGGGAATTTGCGTTGTCCAAATAGTCCTTAGCTGGTTAATTGTTCTAGAGTCTGGCCCAAGTAAACTTTATGCTTTTATTTCTTTTAAAATGGACCCTTCCAAGGAGGCCCAAGTAATCCATTGAAGACTTACTCAGATGCTGTTCTATCAGGGTGCGTTTGGTACGCGGACGGGACGGAACGGGACGGGACGGGACGGAACGAAGGTGTAATTTTTGAAAAAGACATGGGTATATTTGTCTTAAAATGGTAAAACATTGTGTTCCACAGACGTGGAACAAACCCGTTCCAGGGGGAGAGGTGGAACGCAAAAACACCCAAAATCTGTCCCGTGGAACAACCTGTTCCACCTATTTTTAGCGCACCAAACGCGGGACGGAACGCCTCGTTCCGTTCCGTCCCGTCCCGTCCCACGTACCAAACGCACCCTCAAGTCCCTGAATCAGTTATTGCCTTGGAGCACCAAAGCTTGCACATCGAATTGTTAATAACCTAAAAATCTTAAGGCATTGTTTGGCGAGGAATGTTCAAGTCCAAAGAGGTAGATCATAAAATGTTAACATGAGAGAATTGAAATGCATTGCATAACATTACAAATGCATGTGAGAGGGATTTAACTTCGTTAGGACTTTGAAAATCCCTCACCCACACAGGCAGAGTGGTTGAAAGCGTTTTTGGTGAAAATATTTTTGGAACCAATCTTAAGTGAAAATGCAAATGAATCCTGAAAAAGCACTTGAACTACTACACAACTGGTGTTTCTTGTAGCAAGCACTTCAAATGCTTTTGGAACCCAAAAATATGTTCTCTAAAAACGCTTTCAGTAATTTAAAAGCACTTCCAAACGAGCCCTAAAACTTCAATCGATAAGTATCAACTTAAAAACCGTTTAAGAGAAATCGATTTCCATAAGCATATATACGCCTCTACTGCATGCTGTAATGCTACGGAGTGACCTATGCCAAGGGCTATGATAGGCTGGCATTTGACAAATATGCAGAAGTATTGCAAAAGCAGACTTGAGAAATTAATGTAGCGAAAGCGAGAGAGATAATTCAAAGTTGCAATTTGCTTATATTGCAGCAGCAGCAGCAGTTTAGACAAATTTCAGTAGTACAATGTATATATTGTCTTGAAGATTTTCCCGCATTCTGCGTACTTTAACAAAAAACAGAAAATTCACTATAAGAAGCAATTACATGAGACCACACTTGTTGCAGTCCATATGTTCTTTTTTCTTAACCTTTGAGAACCTAAAAAACTTGAAATTTCAATGTACAACCCCCGTCAGTCTGTCCTTCGTATTGACACACCGCTATACCAACTTTGATGGTTTTTCTCATGTAGGTAGGCCGTTGAGAAGGCCATTGATTTCTTGAAAAATTATTATCATCTATCATAAATATGCCTTGAATTTAAAAGGTTGTGCTTTTCAATCCAACCATCTACGAAACGGAATTATTATGTCCTAATTAGGGCTGGTTTGGGTTGGGATCTCGAACTGAAACCCCCAACCCGAATCCCAAACCAAAACATTTCAAGATGGGATTTTATATCCCAAAACCAAATTGAAACTATTCAATTCTCAAAATTCGGGATTTTCAGGTCACTTCAGGATTGGGTGGAATCAGTTCTATCTGTAATCAAGTTGCTCGAATGCAATGCTAATGCAACTAGCTCCTCTGTTTTGATAGTTTGTTAGCTTTGAAGAAATCCACAAACTTATATTGTGGCTTGGCAGTACTCTGCAGAAGCAGCAGAGCCGCAATGAGCTCTAGAGTTTGAGCTCCAAACAATGATATTGCCTGCACTACCAAAAATAAATAAAAGATCAATTGACGGAGTGCAAATCGCATACTTAATGCAAAATCAAGCTTCTTAAAATTGAGAATTGCAAACAGTTCCATGTGCTTTCATAGCCATGCTCCCTTGAAACAAAATGAAGCATAGTTTGATGCAAACAACGAAAATGATAAGCTAATTGATTACGCAGTGGTTCATCTTCATCATCCTCTATTCACAGCATATGCCAATCCATATCAAAGCAGAAAGTTGAACAATTTTTATATCCAACCCCTAACAAACTACACCTACACTACAATGCTAAATCATGAAAAGGGAAAGAACATTGACTGGCTTTTTGCACACTCTTACTTGTAAATCATAATCTAGCACATATAGGCGAATGATTCATTAACAAATATGTTTGTACGCAAGGGTTAATTCATGAACATGTTTTATAATTTCCCCTCATAATTCCCATTCTTCCAAGAATCAAATATTGTCAAGGCCATTACTTCTCAATGTTGATAACAAAAAATAAACGAGCAGGCTCACCTTTGTCTGTGGATCAATAAAAGTTTAATCCGATGAACCCACCCTCCCAAAGGCCTGCAAGTCTTGCACTGCACCCACCCTAATCTGAAACCCCCTACAATTCGTGCAAGTCCTATTTCCCTATCCCCTATAATTTTATTCTACAAATTCGTGCACCCACCCCCCCTAATATTAATTTGAATGAACCCACAAATTCGTGCACCCACCCTCCCAAAGGCATGCAGGCTCTGCACTGCACCTACCCTAATTTGAAACCCATAGTCCTCAAACCCTCACACATTCGACAAAATACTCAGAAATCAAGTTAATCAACATGAAATTTGACCTTAAACCTTAAAGAACAAAAACCCAGTGAAAATAAAAAACCCTTGCCTGGATTTTGGGACTCGATTGGTGTCAAATTCATGTCTTCCTGTGTCTATGTGTGTGTGGCCGGATGAGCGCCGTTGAAGTGTATCGAGGAGCGGCGGGAGCACGAAGCAGCGTTCGAACTTCGAACTAGGTTTTCGAGAGAGTGAGATTGTGAGAGTGAGCGACTGAGAGAGAGTCTAAGGAAGTGAGACTGTGAGAGGAATACAGAAGACCCAACTCACAATAGATGGTTGGATTAGATCTTAACCAATGCAACGGTCCAAGTAATTTCTAATTATAAATTAAAAAATATATATATATACACACACACACAATATTTAGTTCAGTTCGGGATTACCGAACACTTTCAAAGATGTGGCCGAATCTCAAATCAAAACTTTCGGGATCAATTCGGTTTCGGGTACCGAATTTTTTGGGAAATTCGGTTCGGACATTTTTCGGTCAAATTTCGGGACGGTTCAGGATTTTCGGGAAAAAATTCCATCCATAGTCCTAATGAGCGTGTTTGTTATGCGGACCGTTTAGGCAGGCAAGTGATTGCAGATAAAACCACCCGTAAAATTGACAATGATGTGACCCCTCTTAAGATGCCCTTTTACAAAATACCATAGCTGAAACACCTTTCCATTTCGATTGAAGCTCCAAAGTTGAGTTACGAAGGTCCACAACTAGAAGAAGATAGCTTCTCGATTTTAATGAAGCTCAGTTTCGATTGGAGTTCACTAGGGTGGTTCCTCTTTACAGACAGCCTCTCAATCTTGATTCGAGTTTTGAAAGTCAGTTTCTGGGGGTTATGAAGCTCCACAGCTGAAAGAAGATAGTTTGTCGATTGGAGTAACGAAGCTCAACAACTGAAACGAGGGTGGTTTCTACAAATCCCATGACTATCATCACGTTCTGTGAAGATACGGTGCCCAAACCATTATCTAGAAACCATTGCCATCGTCGCATTCGTCTTTGTCATCACAGTCGTTGTCCAGCTTTGGAGTGTGGCAAGTCGCCACCGGTGTAATATCAACGAATTCAAGGTTGAATATGTCTTAAAATGTTCTAAATTGTGTTTAGGTAAGTTCCTAGACCTATCTAGATGATTTTGGATGAAATTTTGTTGAATTAGAGCTTGAATAAGCTAAGTATTAATATTTTGAAGAATCTACAGCCTCTGGCGAGTCTCCGGTGGCGGAGCACGATGGTCAAAGGCGGTCTAACGGCGACAGATTCCGTTAGAGTTGACTAAATCTCTAACAGCAAAGGTATATTCCATTAACTTTCCAACTGAAATCCAAAACTTGGCGCACGGCCTCGACGACTACAACGACGAGTGGTGGCGAGTGACTGTCTGTACGACGGCACGTGGAGCATCCGAGACCTAATCTTAGGTTATTCAAAGTCCTGAATCACGGGGTGCAATCCATTTGTGTATATTCATTATCTAAATAATACATTCACGAGTACAAGTTCAACTAAATTGGGCAAAGGTAAGAGGCCTATTAAAGAATCACGCTTGGGAAACTTGTGAGTGGATCCCTTCAAAACTCAAGTTTTCGAATAAATTATTTCTTGATGAATTAAACTGTTTTGAAGCTAGTCTTACACAAGACTTCTATAGAATTGGTTAGAGGACCATATAATTGAATTATCCACATTGGTGATTTATTTTCACCATATGATCTTTCATATATCTTGTATAGTTGTCTTCGGTCGTAGGATATTTGCAGCTGTTGTTATATTTCTAGTAGATGCTAGATATACTAGTAGGTGCTACTAGTTGAGTTAGCTAGTAGACGCTAGCAACGCACAAGTCGACGCCCATGTACACTTGCGTGCTATACTTATATTAGTAGATGCTAGTATGATATATTGATTTCAGATATTATCTATTCTAAAATTGAGAAATGATTTGACTGTAGCTAAGCTACAGTCAAACCTTTGCCACTCGATTTCACGCTATTTACAACAATGTCAGCAAAATAGGGCTGGATTAGGAGGGTAATTTTCAAAAGTTAGGAGGGTAATTTTGTCTCTGACCAGATTTCGAAATATTTACGATTTTGCCAGTCTATTCTAAAGTGGGCCCTCGATTTTGCATTATTTACATTTTTGCCATTATGTCTGTGGCTGTGCTTCAGCCAAAAACTCACAGATTGTGCTTGAGAGAGATATATGAGAGGATTTGTGGAGGGATTTCAGGGTGAAAGGCGTGGGATGCCAAGGAGGGGAACGGAGAAGGATGAGTGAGGCTGCCAAAAAGAGGGGTTATGTTGAATTTTTCTCCTCAAATCAAGGGTTGGTGATGGTGATTGAGAGATTGAGAGGGATGGGAGAAAGACAAAAACAAACCCATTTGTACTTCAATTACCCTTCTTAAACCCTAGCAGCCACAACACCAACTGTAGCCGATCCTTCAGAATCCCAAAACCGAGCCATCTCTGCAATAGCATCGACTCGTGCTTCCCAAAACCAAAACCACACAAACCTGCCCTCCATTTATATAACTCGATCGTTTCGGTGAGATGAAGGAGAGGGAGGAGCAGGGAGATGGGCTTGAGTCTGCGGACAGCGGAAGAGATCTTCAGGGATTACAGTGCTCGGAGAACCGACACCGTCCATGCTCTGTTTGTTGGGGTGTTTTGCAGCATCGTAGATTTTTTTCAAGGAGTTTGCTCTGTTTGTTGTCAAGGCTGGTTCAATTTTAAGTAATATTTATGGTGTAAATTGGGAAAACAAACTTGAGGTATTAATTTTTCAGAGATAGTTTATCCTTGAAATTACCCATGTTTTTATGTCTTCCAGCGTTATGTTTTCTTGGAGTTACTCAATCCTGTACTCATGATTTGAGTTCTTAATTTTGCAGGCAAAATAGTTGCAGGCAAATTTTGTGTACTTGAGCCTGTTAAGCAGGTGAGTTCTTTCTTTTGCGAATTGTGAATACATTGTTGCAATTGTATTGGGTCCAATCAGTGTGCCCTTTCCTCCATCCCCCATGGTATTCTCCTTTTTAGTCAATCAGAGTAGACCACACATATTTCATCTAATTACGATGCTCTTAATAATGTAATCATCCATCGTCAAAACATTCCCAATTTATTTACTAATTTTAATTTTGGCTTTTAAGTTCAGGTTCTGGTTTCTAATATTTATATTTTTGTACAAACTTGATGGTATGAAAAAGATTTGATGATTTATGATTGTATGAAAGTTGTGTGGTTCAAAAGGTGATAACATTTTGTTCTAAGAATTAGGAAGCAGTTGCTAAGTGATAATTCTCCGTTTTGCTTTGGATAGAAAAGAATAAAGTGAAAATGCTTTGATTTTTGTTTTATTTTTCCTGATTTCTTCAACATGTGTATGGAAACATAGTATTACGTCTCTTATCCGTTTTCGCATTGGTTTACTGGTGCAGGTTGAAATTATGGCTCTATTTTGGGGTAATCTTTCTTCTTTTTGCTCTGGGTTTGGAGTTCTACACAACAAAGGTACTCCCTCCCTCCCTCCCTGTGCAGTTTTGATATGCAGTTTTGATATGCTTATAACTGAGTAAAATTAGTCAAATTCACCCCTTCATTATTGTAGCTTCGAGTTGTTTGAGCAGTTGTTCCAGGACGACTGCTACAAATCTTCCTATTTATGTGTCTGTGTGGCATTACCGTCTCAGTATGTCTACTAATTTTCTCCAGAATGTCTAGCTATTGAAATCCATTTAGAACTAGAACATAGAATTGTCATAAGTTTATGTATACCACATGAAGTTGGAGTAGAATAAGCTTTTTTTATCCTCCTGCATCTTGACACTCTCATTCTTTCTATGTTGAATCTTATAAGTAATTTGTAATTAGTTTACTATATTTGGTATTTTCACTTCCGATAAATTTTCTTGACATCAGTGTTTTAAGCTAAATGTTCTGTTTATGTAGATTGTGTTATAGATGTTTCTCATTCTCAATGTTGCAGTTCTGATTAGGTGCTGTTTGTAGTTTTATGGTGGTAAAGTTTTCGGGGGATATTTGTTGGTGTGTTCCTTTCTATGTCTTCAACAGTAGTGGTAAATTACCATAAACCTACCTCATGCATGCCCACATTCGCACAGCTTTGCACCCACTTTTCACTCCTATTATCCTTTTTCTTGGATGCATAGTATTCACAAGTCACATTGTTTTTTCTTTTGGCCCTAGGTGTTGAAATTTTTTATGGAATTTCATTGATGTAAATATTGCATCTTATTTTGGGCATTACTGTAATAGGTGAATATAAAGTCTATTTGGATAAGAGTAAATTGATTGTGTTTTAAGTTTTTTTTTTAATTCAGATAATCATGTTCAATATTTTTTTGGTTTGATTTAAAGGAATTTTGTACACAAAAAAGTTAGGGTTTTCTAGTTAGAATTTTGGGTTGTACATCTGGGTGTTTCTTACACAGAAAAGTTGAGCTTTTCTGATTAGTTTTTTGCGTTGTTTATTTGGGTGGTTTTGTTTTCGTCAAATTTGTGGCTTTTGTGATTTGAGATTTGTACATAAATTGAAACTTAGTTTTTCTAATTTCAACTCTCATTCGGATCTTGACATTTTCTCATCATTAAAATTGTTTTTTGTGCTGTTCTTTTCAAAGCACGATCAGATCCACAAGGCATCAAAGTATGTTATTGAAGTATATATTGTACATGTCTGTATTACATTATACATGTGTGAGTGTGGATATGTTTTATTCTGGGTTGATTTAGTTAATGAGGTTTGCTTTAATTTCAGATTAATTTGGTTCCTATTAAACAAATCGGACGTTGTAAGTGTGAACCAGTTGTGTTTGAAAATCGTTGGTTTTTCATTTTTTTTTACTTGTGCCCTTTTAGTTGTTTGAATGAACTTTTTATGATGTAAATCAAGCTAAATTGAATAGCTGTGTTTGTATATTGTGTTTGGTGTTTTGAATTCATCTTTAATTAATGCATTGTGGTTGTGAGAGTGATTGAATGCATTGTAATCTTTATAGACATATATATTTATACAATTTCTAATTCTACAGCAACGCGCGGGCATAATTTCTAGTGATTTCTGAACCACTGAATGAGTATGATTTCGATTGATGAACTTGTTGAGATTTCCATTTACCATATATGGTAGTCAATACTGGTATGTAATTTTAAATTATATATGTTTTTCAAAACAAGGATTAGTATATTCAAAATGTTTTAACTATATAAATGATTATGATCCACTCACATTTTGTTTTGATCCCCCTCAGGACCTAGCGAGAGCGATTGTTGAGGAGGACGAGTGGGCTTGGCAGTAGTGTAGACTTCCTATGGAGTATGGTAGTTTTACTTATGCTTTATCATTTTCGAGTTGTAATAATATGCATGATCGTACTTTTTGATTATGCATGGTTGAACACATACTCTTGTGTTGTGTTCTACTATTGCTTGCACTACTTTTATGCTCTGAATGATGTGATAATAATGGGTTGAACCCAAATATGTCCCCAAGTGGGGAGGTTGTGTAGGAACTTGCAAAAGTTTTTAAATAATTAATAAACGAGCCTTTTGGTTCAAATTTATTCATATCTTAATTTTCTTACTATGGCTTTTGTGTTGATGGTTTTTCATCATCTCTAGGATGGTTACATTGCAAATTTAGTGACGGCCAAGACATTTTTGCCATGGCTAGTTTGTTATTGGGGTGTGTTAGTTTGGTATCAAAGCATGGTTAGTGGACAGACTGGTTTCTGGAGGTTTGTGCTATAAAGTTGTCAGTTTGCCCACATGTCTATAGCGGTCAGTATTTCACTTCCTATAAACGGTCAGTTATCGTGCACAAGATTGTTTTCTCTTAAGCCCCTTGTACCTTGGGCTTCTTAGGCCATCTCTAACCGAAAAGGGGGCCAAAGGGCCATGTTTAGCCCTATAGCCTTGCAAGAAATTGTTTTTTAACGAACAGTGCTAGGTCATATTTTTTACCATCTCCAACCGAGAGGACCAAAGGGTCATAGACCAAAACATAGATCGTTTGACAAAAAACCCATCTCTAACCGAAGGGGGCTATTTTTTAGCCCCCTCAATAATTTATTATTTTAATTGAATTAAACTACCATATTAAAATAAAATTTTCGGACACATTTTGAGTGCCACTTGTTGCTAAATTAATAAGCCTCCAAATTTTTTATCTTTATATAATGAAAAGGATGTGAAAAATTGGTGAAGAATTGAAATAAAATGAGGTAATATAATATGAAATGGTGAAAAGGATGTGAGAAATGGGGTAGAAATGACTTAGTGCAGTCTTATTAGATTATGAATGTGATTGTGTAAATCCTAGTGTATTAAGGGATATATTGGAATATTCTCTTTAGTAGTTAATATCCTATTAGAGTTGTAATCCTATTAGGGTTAGGATTTAATGTGACGACCCGTCCCTAATTCTCTATGTATTTTCTCCCCGAGCATGTGAATTTACATTTATGCCCCTGTTGGCAAGTGATGTGGACGTGACTGTGCAACATTAAATTATTTTTCTCGCTTTTGTAATTAATTTGTACTCATTGTTACGAGGGTACGTTAATTTTATCAGTGCTAGAAACAATGTTTTGGATAAATTTCTGATTACCTTTCTACTGTGCAAATATGAAAATCTTATCCCTTGTTCTTTTTAAATTGGACCCGTGCCCTCAAACCCCTCACAACCAATCAAACACTCTCCTCAATTCTCTCACCCAACTAGACAACTTCCGTCACTTTTCCACCAATCAGAAAAGCTGTCACTCTCTCTCTCATCTCTTTCTCTCTCCCTCACCGAGCTATCTCTCTCTGCAACTACAAGGACCTTCACAAACACTCATAGATCGAGTCCAAAAACACCACCATTGTGATCCCTTCGTCCTCACGAACACAGCCGTACCATTCGATCACGCGTTGGTTGAGTTTTAAGTGGTCAACGCAGAGCAACTCGGAAGCTCAAACTCAGTCGAGTTGGCATCGTCATGATCCCAGTCGAGTTACAAGGTTTTAGGACGTGGGCAAACTTCCACTCAACTCCCCGTAGTCATTAGACTAGGTTTGGAGAATTGTTGACGTCGAAACAAGCAAGTTCAAGATGGTAAGTTTTAGGTCGAGACTTGCGAGGTTTTTTCAGGCCATTTTTCGTCCATTTTTGGACTTCCAAAAGAAAATGGCGAAAATTCCCCAGTTTTCGACGAACCAAACGGTGGTGGCGGATGGCGAAGCTCACAAGAGAAGATGAAGAATATTGTGTGAAAGTTGAAGCCGTTACTATTTAACTGTGGCGTCAGGTAACGCCGTTACTATTTAACCGAATATTCCGTCAGTTCTGACGGAATATTCCTAACGTCCGTTAGGGTTTCATCAACTTCTGTTGTGCACGTGCTTGCGCGTGGCCGCACGTGTGGCCGTGGGTTGGAGAGGGCGTGAGGGCGCGTTCGGCCTCCGGCTGGCAAGTGGTTGATACGCGTGGGTTCGTGACTTCAAGTAGAACATTTTCGCATATTCAAACCTTCCGTTTGAGCAAACTATGGGGAGTTATTCCTAGTTTTGGTGTATGTCCTTATTAACTAATTAGTATTAGTTGTTTTTCATATAGTAGAGACTTACCCTAAGGACGTACGTGGACAAGCAAGGCTAGGGGGCTACATGCATATGAAATGCCATGACAGAATAAAACTCAACCATAAACATGCATATGAAATGGCATAATATGCATAAACCACTTTATATATATATATGCCACGATTTACTTAATTTAAAAAATACTGTTTGTGGTTGAGTTTTATATTGTCATGGCATTTCATATGCATTTTACCTGCTCATAAATATTAGACTGTTGTGAAATGCTATAGTAATTCTACGGGACGCGCAGGTAAGTTTAGGTGAGTTTGTTGTGTTGTTATGAACAATTAAATTGTATGGCATGCTTATATTCATATAGTTAGCTCATCATTGCTGCACACCGGTGTTAGTGCTCCCACCCTGAGCCAAGGCCAGCCTTCACGTGATTGTTCACCTCCCGCACTGCACACTCGCCTTGGATCCAAGTTAGGTGCTACCCTATCGTACAGGTCGCATTAGGCGACTCCCACTCGTAGGTGACCAGCGCATAACGCTAGCCTTCACGTGATCGTAGCACTAGAGCATATATTATTACACCTAGCCTGTCGTACAAGTCACATTAGGTGACTCCAACTTGTGTGTTAGCATAAATTGATAAGCCATATGTGCAGTTGTACAGGTCACATTAAGTGACTTCGACTTGCGTGCTAGTATAGATTATTTAGCACATGATTATATTCTTATTGCCGTTGAGATATTCTACTGTGGCATATTTTCTAGATTTATTGTTGGCATGCATTTGATTTCATACTTATATCTAGTATGATTTTCAAGAAACTATACTTGTTTTACAACGTGGGATCAGTATGTTCAGAAAACAAATGGATTTTATAAACCTTTATTTTTGTGCCCACTCACCCTTCTATTTTTCGCCACTCCAGGTCCTAGATAGCTGAATTTCTTGGTGGCGTACGAGGAATAGCTAGTGATTATGACATACTCCAATTAAAAGTAGGAACTGTTTATGGTTGTGTACTAAACACTTATTTAGTTTCAACTGCACTACTGTTGATATCTATGCTCTGAAGATTTGTAGTCCATGGGTTGTACCTACTACTGCGCACTCACTTTGCTAGCGTAATTAACTTCTAGTTCGGTTTTAATTTATCCACATTTTTACATCACTCACACTTTTGGTTACGTTACCTTCGGGTGACGGCCAGCACGTCTCGACTCCGGTCGGGGTGTGTCATTTAACCTATCATACTACTATAAATAAGGGCACAATGGGGGGATACAACATACACCTCAAAATTACATCTCGCTCCTCTCTCTCTTGTTGTCGACCCTCTCCCCTCTCTAGTCCTAAATACAGTTCAGTCAATTAGGCCTACAACACATTCCCTATGATGCATGAATCCCCTATATTTATATTTTCCTTTCAATTATGTGTGTGTGTGTATATATATATATTGCATATTTGTTCATGAGTAAAAGCATATTTGCTCTTGCTGGGCTTCGTGCACACCCACCCCAGGCCAGCTCTATACTAGGCATGTGCACCCCTGCCTTTTGTGGCCCACAAATCAGCAGCTTTGCTGCTAGGCCTGTCCCAGACGCACGACCCATGGCCTGCATCCAACCCGTGGCCCATTAAACCCCTTTAAGGCATTTCCCCATACACGGCAACCAGCCTACTGATATTGGGCTTTGATTTTTCAAATCCAATGCTATTTTTTCTTGGCATTCCCGCTAATATTAACTCGAATGTTATTATTTTGCTTTTACAATCAAACCTGAATGGTTACGATCTATTGAATTAATTAAAGTGACCAACAGTCCATTAATTTGACAATTAATTCAAAATTATTGACTTGAAGTTCACTTTTTGGCAATTGACAATTCAATAAATTATTTCTTTTCCTTGAACCATTAACTATCTTTCGTAGTCCCGATGCACTCACACTTGAGTTCCTAAAGCAATCCACAAATTCACTACACTTAGTTGTATATTATATTATGTGTTCTTGCAGGTACCCCTATATGAAGCATTTACGCTTCCAAGACTTTAAGTCTGTGAATGAATACAACTTTGAAGTTTGTAGAATCCGATCACTACTTAAGTTCTGTGAAGAGGACTTAATCGAAGAGGATTTCCTAGATAATACATATTCGACCTTCAATACCACCAATATTGTCATGCAACAACAATATATGGCACATAAGTTCATCAAATTTTCATATTTGATCGCTATTTTACTTCTCACTGAAAAGTAAAATCAGCTTTTGATAAAGAATCATCAGGCTTGACCTACTGGCTCAAACGCTTTGCCTGAAGCACATGCGACCAGTTCTAGCAGCCACAACCGACAGAAACCCCATCGTGGCAGTGGAAATTGGCAGTAAACCCCACCACGGGCCCAAGGTCAACAAAGTAGAGGCCCATCTAAGGAAGGAAATTTGACCCAGAAGCGCCAACCCCTTGTCCTTAAGGCCCTAAACTTCAAGAACAAGGGAAAAACTATCGTTCAATCAGCTTCCACTGAAATGGACATGTGCTACCATTGTGGATCAAATGATCATTGGTCACGTGTATGCCAAGCTACCCCTGAGGCTATTGCCAAGTATTATTCTTGTTGTGACATTTTAATGAGGATAAAGTGAAGCCTTCAAGTACTCTTATGGTTGTTCGGACTCTAGATGCTAAACGAGATCCATTCCATCTTAAGGAGGATGAGGAAGAGATTTTGGAGCCTAAAGTTCTATACCTAAGTGTAATTGGTGCTTCATTGTACTTGGCTCAATGCACTAGACCCGATATCTCCTTCGTTGTTAATCTTTTGGCTAGATACAACAATGCGCCTACATGCAAACACTGGAATGGTGTTAAAGACATTTTTTGCTACCTCAAGGGTATAACGGATTTGGGCTTGTTCTACACCCATGAATCCTCGAGAGGAGCCGCCGCCCCCTCGGTCATCGGGTTGATTCTCGCCTCGTTGGT